TTCCCTACAGTAGAATGCCGTTCTCCTTGTGATCGACAGGAGCATTTGCTGTTAATGAAGTGGAAGTCACACCAACACAGGCACCGTACCCTTGAACGCACGGGGATGGTCCCACAGCTCACTCTCTTCCCTCCACCTCACATGGAAACCACAAAGAACATCTCCTATCCTACCTCTTATGTCGTCTCCACTGACAACTTAGCACCACATCCATTTCATCAGTTACTCCTTTTCATCCCCCAGTAGCTGCAGTAACTTGACCTGTCTTTTCCATTTGGAAATTAGTGGTGATGCTTGCAACAATTCAGTTACTGAAACCCTGAAGGACCAAGGAGAATGAGCACTCATTTTCCCATGGTGGTGCTGCTACCTGTCACAGGCAGAAAAGCAGCTACCCTAGATAATAATGCTGCTTGAGAATTGTTACTGCAAGCTCCTGCCTTCAGCTCCTCATAAATTTTGTCAGCTTTGAATGTCCAGATGGAAAAACTCATACTGAAGAAATGATGCATGTGTCCACAGTGGTTTTGTTATCTTATCCTTCCATCAGCACAGCATATAAACATTTAAATTACATTTCAAAGGACTCCAAGGTGACTACCGAATTTTGTTTCATTGTGGGATTATAAATGCTTATAGTGTGGTAATAGGTACTTGCCTATGAACTGCTTTTCCCTAAACTTTTCTTACCAAATATAAACCAAATTTAATTCTCTTCATAACATAATATAAAAACACTATTTTTAAAGCTTAAATGTGGTGTGACCAGCTATTTGCTGATCTTTCAGTGACTTATTGCACAGTCTTGGTTTAATCGTTCAAGCCAGGACTTAGAGACCAATTTAAAAATAAAATTCCAGTCATCAACTCAAAATTCCAGTCATCAACTGTGAAAAGTTAGTCTATGTACCAAGACTGCTACCAAAAATTCAAAGTCTTAACAAAAGTCTGTCCTCAATGCAAGGCACGTGGAACCTCAATCATTTGCTACATCTTTACAGCTTATATTCACTACCTGATGTAAGAGCATGCTAAAAAACTTTT